GATTCTGTAAGCAGGATTGAAAAACCGCGATTCACGTACACTTGTTACTGTTTAATACGTCAGCCCTACAAAGTGTGTCACTGTCTTACTGTTTCTTTTTTCACTTACGAGTCATGACTTCGAGCCATAATATTCAAGAAGTTGCATTATTGAAACGCTTAGAGGAACGAATTTGAAAATAGTCTCCACATATATTTTGCTTAAACCTGAAATAAAAGCAGTATTGAAAACTTTACTCATGAATTACTTTCTTCATGCAGATTGTAACCCGTGAAGCAAAATATTACGGTCTGAGGGACTCACTCATGAATTACTTTCTTCATGCAGATTGTAACCCGTGAAGCAAAATATTACGGTCTGAGGGACTCTAGCTTCAAAACTTCATTAATGAACTGGGCTCTTCCTTTTGCTCAGCGCTACATGTACAGTGTGCACCCTGAGAGATACGCGAAGCTCAAGCAATCTGGATTTTGTCTGCAAGTAATTGTTGTTGAAAAGCTGTTTTTCAGGAATGTTATAAAGAATTTTGGACGTGCTTCTGATGAACAGGTTCCATGTAGTTGTCTTCTTCAGGTAATTTCGTTAGATTCCATACATGATATTAAGAAGTTGTCAATAGACCCATGGCTTGTAATGCATGAATTTGTGCCGTTTCGGGATTGTCTCGAATAAATCAATGTGTACATTCATATATATGCTTAGAAACAAGGGACATACCATTAAGATATTGAAAAGTACAAGAGAAGGATCTAGATTGGGGAAGGAGATTAACAAATTGCTCTTTAATTGGTCAGCCTGAGCTGGGAAAAAGTATTTTTGCTTGCTTTTTCGCTTTGTCAAGTTGGAATACTCGCGATTGGAAGCGAATGGTTGAATCTGCATAAGTATATATATATGTCCTGATTTGTATGATATTTGCTTTTGCAGGATAATATTTTATACACGACCCATGACTCGTATTCTCATTCGTTGTTTATGGAGTTTTCTCGTTTGCTATTCGATGGAACTCCTGAGCTTCATTTGGCCAACTTCCTTCATATGATTACGACCATGGCCGAATCGGGTTCTACCAAAGAGCAAATGGAGTTTTTCATCCTGAATAGTCAGAAGGTGACGAAACTTCCCGATGAACCTATTTGGTCTCTTTCATCTGTCACTTCATTGGTCGAGACTCCCAACTTACCTCAAACATGTCTTAACCCTACCTTACTGAACGACCATGGATCGTCTTCAAAGTCTAAAAAGAATGCAGGAAATTGGCCGCCTGTTGATTGGAAAACGGCTCCAGGTTTTAGTTACGCTCGTGAAAATGGTTTCAAGACACAACCAGCAAGCTCACTGCCCAACTGCAACCTATATATAGAAAACGTGTATGAAGGTATCGAGAAGCAAACAGAGAACTTGGCTCCGATTTCAACAGACACAGACTGGACCTATGATGGCGATTCATCTGCAGTGTCGGTAGCATCCATTGTTTATGGCAGTAGTGATAACGTCGGAGAACTTGTCAGCCATGGTGATGTGAATCCTGAGGCCATTGGTTCTCAACCCGATTCGAGTGGCTTTTCCTGGAAAAATCAGCTTAGAACTGGCACCCCCAATCCAGTTCAGGCAATGGCAACTGGGAGACTCGGCGAGCATGTCGCCTTCAAATACTTCACCGAGAAGTTCACCAACACAGTTGTTGAGTGGGTCAACGAGGACTCGGAAACTGGATTCCCCTTCGATATAATCATAGGAGATGACGACGACGACAATAGACAGTACATTGAAGTGAAATCAACCAGATCTGCAAAGAAAGATTGGTTCGACATATCAGTAAGAGAATGGCAATTTGCAGTCGAAAAGGGTGAATCGTTCAGCATTGCACACGTTTTGTTATTAGCTAATAACGTCGCCCGGGTTTTGGTTTTTAAGAACCCAGTTAAATTATGCCAGTCAAGCAAGCTCCAACTGGCTCTTTTAATGCCCAAACAGCAAAAGGAATTCTCCATTGTCTCCTCCTGAAATGACATTCTTCCTCTTTCAATTCTTCCTGGGGCAGCAAAAGGAATTCTCCATTGTCTCCTCCTGAAATGACATTCTTCCTCTTTCAATTCTTCCTGGGGAGCTGGTTTTGCTGCAGCAAACAAGCAACGACAGCTCTCTGGTTCGATTTTTCAAGCTCGTTGGGGAGAACATCTCGATGTCGCTCGTCGGGAGGCTGGCTTTGTAGGTATGATTTTCTCAGCAGTCTCAAATTATAATTCAATGGAGGCTTCAATGCTATTTATTACACTATTCTCTGAGTCTCATCTGTGAGAACTCGCAGTGGGCTGTTTTATAATCTTTGCCCACCTTGCAGTTTACATGTAAATAAATTTTGAGGGTAGTAAAGTTAATCTTTTTATAATATTTATATTTGATTTTCAGTAATTTTGCAAAAATTATTTGTGAATTTCAACGGTAATTATAATCATATTCTCAAACATTTAATTTTATTGTGGAATTTTATAATTAAATTGTTGAATATTGCAAATATAAGAATGACTTGTGAATTTAGTTGATAATTAATGTTTTATTTTAGAATTGTTGAATATTGCAAATATAAGAATGACTTGTGAATTTAGTTGATAATTAATGTTTTATTTTAGTTGATAATAAAAATTTGATGCACATAATTTAATTTTTATTGTAAGGTTTAGTTGAAATAACTCTTTAGATTTGGTAATTTTTAAGGGTTTAATTGTGACAATTTTATAAATTTAGAGGCATGGGATTTATGGGCATGATGGATCAAGTAGTTGATATTTATTTAATTTGCATGTTTTCAGAGACACGACAGAGAAGCAAGGAGAGATTTATCTCTATTAGCTAAATGGGCTTTGAGACGGGTATTGTTATTATTTGTCCTCGTCCCCAACCTTGACCCATACCCAATTCTCATTTGTCTTCGTCCCACCCCGTGGACTCGTTAATGGCTTAGAAGATAAAATGTTAGAGAGGGGTCGGTACGACCCGTCTTTAATAAAATCGATCCGATTCTCTTAATATTTGTCGGATCTTTCCTATCTCTTAATTGAGCTTGAGAAATTACAGTCACATTCCATCAAAGAGTCTGATGGTAACTAATATTGATTTTTACTGTTTTTACTACAATAATAATTATTTTCTTTTGGAAATGGGAAAATCATTTTTATCCGTACAATTTCCTTAAGTGTTCGGCATGTCGAATCACTATGAAGTGCAAAATATGTGTCGTTCGAGTTTCCAGCTTCAATCAAAGATGTGCTTATGCATGGTTGTTTTGTCTCTCAATTTTCCAAAAAAAACAATAGAGAGGACTTTCTCGCAACTCCTTTTGTAAGAGACAAATCATTGCTCCATTCCTTCTGAGTTCATACCTCCAAATTCGTACCATCTTGGGTAACAAATGCACGAGGTTCCACCTATCGTGGGCGTTTTTTTAATGTCCTCGTACATTCTGTTTAAATCAGCCCGTATCTAGATGTTGGTGGCCAGAGGAAAATCCTGCTTGTTGATACTCAATAGAGATAACAGAAATGCACAAATTTGCAAAGTCAACTTTCGATAGAGCATTTAGTTTCTGATGATTATTATGATCTATTACATCTTGGTGTCATCGAAATCATCTATGTATGCGATTACGCCTTATGAACCTTATCATATTGACATTCCATTGTCACGTTTTGTGGACTGATTTGATTGACATACTCTTTTATGTAGTGTATGTAAAAGACTAGTTTATGCTTTGTAGGAATTTATCAGAAAATAATGAAGTACGTCTTGAAATTACTTCCTAGGAGGATTTTAGTTCAAAAGAAAGGAAACCATTTGGTTGTTTTGGAGACATGCCCTATATTGTTGTTTGTTTTTATCTTTTTTCTTGCATTTCATTCTAAAAGGGCTTACATTCGATACGACAATATCCGCTGTTTCGAGACTCAATGCAGTCATCTAATGTCATTTGATTGGGTGCCATATGCAGATGAAAGAATGATGGAAAAGACGAGGGAAGAAAAGAAGAACGAAAAGAACGAGCTAATAAGACACCAGAGTTCGATGTGGATTGATGAGAAGAAGTTGGAAGAGAAGCTCTTAGACGCCATTGTGAATACCACCCCTCTCTGAGTTTTATTTAGAGAAGTACTCTTACATTGAATTTTTGCATAACCAAGTTTTTGTTCACTTTAGTTGGATTAAGTATTTGAACTTAATGGAATGTAAGTTCAAATCTACACCTCTAATTTGTGATGAAAGCAGTTCATTACTCTTCGAAAACACAAATATAATTACTTTGACTCTCCCTTCTTTCACGGTAAACTAACTTCTTTCACTGTAAACTAAGACTCAACCAACAAGAATTCGACTGTAATTACGGTAAGTGACTTTCACTGTAAACTAAGACTCAACCAACAAGAATTCGACTGTAATTACGGTAAGTGAGTCCCACATTGGTTAATTGAGTAGAAGATCATGGGTTTACAAGTGAGAAATACTATCTCCATTGCATGAGGCGAGGAAGCCCAAAGCCAAGTCATGCCCAAAGCCAAGTCACGAGATAATATCATATCATTGTGGAGAGTGGTAATTCATAAGAATTTGGTAAGATAACTGAATCGAAAGTCAAATAATTAGGATAAACTTAATCCATCTAAATTTATATTTCATTCATTAAAAAATATATTATAACTAATATCTTAAATTTTAGATATTTTAGCTTATTTAGCAACCACCTTAATAATTATCCTCAAATAAATAAATTTATAGAAGAAAAGAAATAAAGTTAAAGGAGGAAGAATAAAAAAAGAAAGAAAAAAAAAATCATAAAATCCATAATTTGGGCAATTTTTATATAAGGAAAATTTGAGAATTTATAAATAAATAAATAAATAGCATTGGCCATGAAATTTGCACTCCAACAGGAGTTGATATGTAATGAACTAATTGATTCTCAAAGCTGTGTCACTAAAACAACAACTGCTCTAAAGACAATTCTATAGAGCAAATCTGTGAAATTCCATATAAGCCAATTTCTATAAGAACAGTAAAAACTCGAAAACAGTAAAATTAACCGAAGGTAAAACACAATTTTACAGCTGCAGTAAAACCCAATCTAAAGCAACGACAGCCATTCTGAGTATGATTTACATCCATATGAGCAAGGGATAAAAAGAATGTCTAATCCTACTGATTATAGCCAGCCAAAACCAAAAATCCATTTCAAGATAAAAAGAATGTTGTTTTCCTTCCAATCCAAGACCTAATCCGACTTCGATCACTGGCTCTTTGGTTTTTGAATCTTCACGTATGGAAACAATCCCAAAAAGTGAACTACGCTCGGGTTCCACTCGAGTTGTTGAGCACGACAAAACATTAAAAATGTATTTGCGAAATAAGAATTGAACCCCATAAATAAATGCCACAATGCATGACCCTGAGGGTTGAAATACCAGCTAGAGATATTCCTGCAGTACAAGCAATCAAAAAGCCAGAAAACAGTCCCGAGCGAGATGGTTGTCAAGTATAACTTTGCCAGCCGCTTTGCGTGTACATCGTTCGTGTGAATATAATACTTGTACATTCTAGGGATGCAGATAAGACATAGTATTGCATAATGTACCTTGAAGCCCGCTCCAAAACGTATGATTGCATGAGCAACAGCAAAGGCAGCACCGTAGAGAAACAAGAACGTAGGCATCGTGCTCCGGTAATGCCAATCTGGTGAATAAAGGATGTAGATATAGAGGAGCATTTCCCATACCATTGGTGTTTCATCACCTTGCTGTTGTCTGAAAATAAGTTTTATCATTGAATCCAATAGATAAGATACTTTATAATAGATGAAGATTTGACAGAACATGCAACCCAATGCTAAAAACAGTATACATTTGCTAAAAACTATTGAAGTTCAGAAAAAATAATCTCACAGGGAAATCTTCAATACATGTACCGAACCTCGGCTAGAGGGGGGAATAAAATGTAAAACGTTGCAACTCCTAATGCTAAGACGAATATAAAAAATCAGGGATGAGAGGAGGACTAGAAAATTCATCCATGAGAGAATAAATTCCACTTATTAATGAAAAAATGAGACGATTCTAACTTCTAAGATGAGCACAAAGAAAACCGAACAGCATAGTTCATTTTTTGGTCGTTATGCAATTGAGAAAACAAACAAAAAATTTCCTTAAAAAACTAGTTATCATCTATTTAGCAGTTTCCTCCTTGCTTTCCCTCAAAGCCGAAAAGTTCTAAAAGAAAATTCCATTATCGTGGACGAGGATAAAGCTAAGGTTTACCCATATTTTCCTCTATCCAAGCTATTTCTTCTCATACATCTCATGCCACGACATTTAGTATTTCAATCACTCATGGGATCTATCTTATATAGGTCGCTTAAATATTTTCTGACTCACAAACTCTAATTTGTACATCGAACTTAAACACTTCGACTCACATATGTCATCTTTATTCTTTTACTCTTTAATATAAAGGAAGAAAACTTACACTCGTTGCAAGGTCGCATGATACAACATGCTTCCTATGGCAAGGATCATATTTGATATGTGAAGAACGCTAAACCTCTTCTCGAACCTTTGTCTCAAAGCATTTACGAGACCAACAAATGCTAAAATGAGGCATGGAATATTTGATACCGTGTTGAAGAATTCTGCAATATAAGAAGAGTAGACATAGTTCTTTTCACACCATTCAGGAGATGTAACAGGACCCCAGAAACTAGATATTGTTTCTGCCATTCTACGATTAAGTATGCTCGATAATACTTGAATTGCCTGCTACTAGGATGGTTCAGAATTTACGAACCTGCAATCGTGTTATTTAATAAGTAGTAAGTCAGTGCATAAATGATGAAAACACACACACACAAGTCAAAGTAGAAACTATTTCATATTCATCCCAAGCAAATACTGTAACATTCTGAATGAAATATGTATTTAATGCGAAAAATTGGCTGAATTATCAAAGAATTGTAGAACTACAAGCTTGATTGATCAAATTCATGACAGAAAATGCGTGGATGATGACGAGAATAGACTAGCAAACCAACTGAAAACAACATGCAGATATGAAAGACCTACAGAAAGAGGCTTTCCACCTTCCTTCATTCCTTAGTCAAGTAAACGACAATGTCAAAAAAATCCAACTCCATCTTTCGAATTTTACTTCAAATAGCAGAAACCGCCAAACATAGCTCGCACCAAGCTAAGAAACGAATTGCAGCTTTCATGAATCGCTTCCTAAATTCTTCATGTCGCGAATACGAGCGTCAAAAGTAAACTAACTTGAACACAACGACACAAATGGCAACGTTTTCTGAAGCAAATTTAAAACTACGTTGAACTTTTTCCATTTCGTCCATTTTTTCATCGCGAATTTCTCGAGCAATTCGTGAAACAAACAGAACTTTATACTCTCTAGACATGAAAATCGAGGAGAAATCCAACTAAATAACCTAAAAAGGCAAATTCAAAACCAAAAACTTCAAAACCGAACGAATAACAAAAATGCTAGAGGCTGAAGAAACTGCTAACCCTTCCGAGATGGATCTAAGCTAGAGAAGAGCCATTGTTGGGAGCTTGAAATTCAAATTCCTGAGGTCTTTCTGTCAATGGTGCGAAGCGATCAGAGGAGAACTGAGCTGAGAGTCCGAACCAATTAGGGCTACCCAGAGGGGAGACGATGAGCGCGTGGTGAAGACATAAAGGAATATGACAGAAATCATTTGTGGCCGTTGGATTAAATACGTCAACGGCTGATATTATTCCGGTCATCGAGCCTTGGCGCGGCTCGTGATAAATGGAATCAAATCCAACTTTACGCGCCTTAACTCCGAATGTGATTTACGCGCTCACGTGCTTTTGAGATCCCACCATTCTTTCTAAAAACATTTTTTTTTATGTTTCAAAATCACAAGCATATTTTAATTCTTCCAAATTCATTTAATATTATATTTAATACTATAGAAATTAAATTTAAATAATTAAACCCTGTATGAAAGAAATTTTGAATATAACAATTTTAAAATTAGTCTAAATATATAATAATAATAATAATAATAAATCAAGATGCAAAAGGTTCGAGAAGGAGTTTGGTCAATAATTATAAACAAAAATATTTTAAGACATTTTGGTTGTGTTCGTGTTCTGTGTATTCAGACATTCATCTATATCTTTCAAGAAATGTGCATATAGTAATTATATTCGAGCTTTATCAAAACAGACGAAGATTAATGCTATTTTTAACCATTTATAGATATATTTAAAACGTGATATTATTGGGAATATTTTTTTTTTGAAATATTTAAAAGTTTAATAGTATTTTAAAAATATTTTAATAAGTGCATTTTTATGCAAAATATTGGAAAATTTTAAGATAAAATGTAAAAATATTAAATATTATAAGTTAATTACAAAAACAATTTTTTTTTTTATTTTTTTTTATTTTTCTCCGGGTTTTCTTTTGGGGCGCCAATCCCCTGCCAAAACCCTCACAGCGAAGCATAAACCTTACGCCGGCACCGGAAGGAGCTCGAAAGCACAGCCATGGGGAAAGCCGATAACATCCTCCAAACTCTCGGGGACTTCACCAGCAAAGAGAATTGGGACAGTTTCTTCACCATCCGCGGCCATGGGGATGCTTTCGAGTGGTATGCCGAGTGGCCTCAGCTCAAAGATCCACTCATTTCCCACCTTCCTTCCCTCTCCAAAACAACATCTCCTCAGATTCTCGTTCCTGGCTGCGGAAACTCCAGTCTATCTGAACAGCTTTACGACGCCGGCTTTCGATGCATCACCAATATTGATTTCTCTAAAGTTGCAATCTCCGATATGCTGCGCCGGAACGTGAGGGAACGCCCCGATATGCGGTGGCGCGTCATGGATATGACGAGCATGCAGGTAGCTAAGTTCTTGGAGTTAAATTTGATTGTGGAAGTGTTTTGTGTTGGGCATTGCTGTTGTAGGATGTTGTTGGCTGTACAGTATTCACTAATTTTGGTGCGGGATTGATTTTAGAGCGACGGAATGAAATGCATCTAGTTTACGAACTCTAAGGCATCGAAATTCCTAAATTTGTAGCTCGTAGAATACGGACTCTGCCAAAATGAATTAAGAGGAAGTTTAGAAACTTTTTTCTAATTTAAGAACCCACTGCGTCAATTCTCTTTAATTCATTCTTGTTAGATATGAACTTTGATCAAATGAAATAAGGGGACGGATTCGTCAATTCTCTTTAATTCATTCTTGTTAGATATGAACTTTGATCAAATGAAATAAGGGGACGGATTAAGGTTATATTATACCGGCTAAAGAGTATCCGAGTTATGGCTACATTTCACTTCCATAGTATTCTCTTCTCCAGAAATTCCAGTTTTTCATTTCTCTGACCAGTGCTTTGCAGTTCACGAACGATACATTTGAAGCTGTTGTTGATAAAGGTGGATTGGATGCTTTAATGGAGCCAGAAGTTGGTTCCAAGCTGGGAAGTCAGTACTTATCTGAGGTGCTAATTTAAAGTTATTGGGCTATCTTGACCCGATAGTTTAATTTGATTCTAATCAAGCAGTGTCATTTTTATTATAGTTTCACTTCCTATCAAAAAGAGAAAAGAAAAAAAAAAAAAAGAAATAGTTTGATCTCACTTAGATGGATTGTTTTTTTCAGGTGAAAAGAGTTCTAAAACCAGGAGGAAAGTTTATTTGTCTTACATTAGCAGAATCTCATGTTTTAGGTACTATCTTAATAGGTTTTTTCGCAGATCAACTCTGAGAATTTTTTTTTTAATGATTTGAGGCAACATTGTGTTAGTCTCGTTAAAAGTCTTTCACCTAGTTATTTTCTTCAACTCGCCTCTACCAAATATGCATTCTGATTTGCTGCTCCATCTGCAGTCACCTAGTTATTTTCTTCAACTCGCCTCTACCAAATATGCATTCTGATTTGCTGCTCCATCTGCAGGCTTGCTTTTTCCCAAGTTCCGTTTTGGATGGAAGATGAGTATTCATGTCATACCTCAGAAACCACCGAGTAAGCCTAATTTTCAAACCTTTATGGTGGTGGTGGAGAAAGATGAATCTACTGCATTGCACCAGATAGAATCTTCTTTAAATTTTTCTTTGCTCGATGGTGGAGAAAGATGAATCTACTGCATTGCACCAGATAGAATCTTCTTTAAATTTTTCTTTGCTCGATTCCCATGGAAATCAGGTTACGAATTGCCTTCTTTAACTGTGAATTTGTGTTGGAATTGCCTTCTTTAATAGATGTTGATTTGGTTGAAAATTATTCTGATGTGTATTCTCCATCATATAAAGATATGTGATGCAGACCTTGGCTATTAATTTGCTAAAAGCTTGACTGAGGCTACTGATCTATTTTCAGACTCGTGAACTTGTCAAAACTCTTGAGAACGAGAATATAATTCGCCAAAAGTGTTCCAGTGGTGCTGATTTGCTGCTCTCTCTTGAAGACCTGCAACTAGGAGCGAAGGGGGATCTGCAGAAGCTTCACCAAGGCCGTCGGATTCAATTTACTTTAGGTGGACAAGGGACCTCCGTTTTCAGTTATAGAGCTGTACTTCTTGATGCTCGGGAACAGTCTGGCTCATTCTCGTATGAATGCGGAGTTTTTATAGTGCCTAAGGTCTTTTTCCTTGAGTCAAAGTTAATTTTATTAAAGAATCAAGATAATTCACTCGTTGCATCATCATGGAAAATTAACATTTTTTATTTGTCTAGATCCTTTGGAACTGTTAGTTGGATGCTTTTAATTTATGTTTGATTTGGAAAGGGGACTATTTTGCTATGATTGAGTAGGTTTCCTGACTTCGCCTTTTTGTGATAAAGGCAAAGTTTGTGGCATGCTAGTTTCTTCTCGATTTTGTGGAGGTTTGGCTTGAGAGGTTTTGTGATGAGGTTTGGGAGCTAGTGAAATTTAATCCCTCTTTGTGGGAGTCAGTCACTAGGCCTTTTTGTAGTTATGAGCTTGGTCTTGTTTTGTCGGATTGAAGTCCCTTTATGTAGCTTTTGGGACTTCCTTTTTGTTGGGCTTGTATCTTGTATGCCCTGTATTTCCTTTCATGCTTATCAATGCAAGCTCGGTTTCTTACCCAAAAAAAAAGAAAAAAACTATGATATAATGTAAAGCTTTGAATTTATTCTAGCTCAAAGGAATTAGTCACCTTATGGAGAAACTTGTCGTGCTGTTGAACTTCGTCAAACCATCTGTTTGTCAAAATGAATTTGTGAGATGAGTAAATTTTGAAAAAGCATCAAACTTCAGGCTTATTGGTGAAATATTTGTGTTCTGCATATCATGACCCTTGAGCATTCTTAGGCACTGGTCACCCCCTGCGGAAAAAAGGAAGAAAATTATTAATGTAGGTTTTATTTGTTATTTTGGACTTCATTCAGCATATAATTGGAATCTTGCAAAGATTTATTAATGTAGGTTTTATTTGTTATTTTGGACTTCATTCAGCATATAATTGGAATCTTGCAAAGATAACAGGGAGGATGGAAATTAGAGTACATGTTTGTGGTCTACTTCCATTATTTTGCTTTGTTTATGTGCTGGAATGCATCTAAGTGGATGGTTGAAATTTCCTTTGGTTGTTTCTGCTTTTGATGCACGTGGTATTGCAATACTTTTACATGTATATTGAATTGTTATTTTTCAGACCCGAGCCCATGAATGGCTGTTCTCTTCAGAAGAGGGCCAGTGGATGGTCGTTGAGAGTTCGAAAGCAGCTCGCCTTATAATGGTATTTGCTTATTGAACATTGAAGCTCTGTGCACATATTTCTATCTATAGTATTCGTTACACCTATCACCTATTTTCTCAGATTCTATTAGATGAGACACAATCTGGAGCCAACATGGATGCTATTCAGGTACTATTTGCTTTGCCTCGAATTTTTCCATTGAGGTATGAACTGATATTGCTAACTATATATACTTTTCACATCTTTGTTGGATTTTCAGAAAGATTTATCTCCCCTAGTTAAACAATTGGCACCGGGTGAAAATGACAGTGGATCTCAAATTCCGTATGTAACATAAACCCCTATGTTTTTCCTCCTGGCTCCCTTTCTTTCCAAAGATATACGTACTGTTCTTCTTTACCTCAATTGATAAATGGGAAGCATTTTGTCATTGTACTTAGTCTTTTACATGTCATTATATCATGTTCTTTATAGTAAAGAAATTTCACATGTCATTATACACGTAATGACAGTTTAAAATCCTCAAGTTTTCTGAAATGTTGTGGTCCGGAGAAATGTGGTTGATTTAGAAAATTGAAGAGAAATCTTCATTGTGTACACCTTTATTTTCATCTTTAAACTCATTAACGACTACTATTTGAAAGTTACTTGTGCTGCGCCCTTACAACTTTGTTACTGGTCAATTATCAGGGACAAATATTTGACCCTTTATTTATTTATTATAATAGTAATTTATTTTAATTTAAAATTAGATCTTTTTACAAGACAATCAGACAATGGGTGTATTTCTCACTGTTTGTTTGGAATAGTTCTCTTATTGCTTGAAAAGTTTATTATTTTATGTAGGCAAAATTATACAAAATAACCCTGAACTTTATTTTTGTATAAAAGATGAAGTTGTAAGATTACTATTAACCTTTATAAGTGTTTTAAAACTATTATTGGAGTAGAAAACCCATTAGAATGTTGAAT